TATAATTATGGGAAATATAGGCCGAGTAAAAGACCAAGGTCGCACTGGAAACAAAGCGTCTCTGTACGTGTTAGTTTGCATCCCTGGCTATGATTTGGTCTGGAGCGCAGTATATAAATAGTGCTTTTCAGGCACAATCTTCCTCAGCCTACTCAAGCTCAACTGATGAGGGGTGAATTCCCCCAAAACACTGTGTATTGAGCGGGGAGTGATGCTTTCTTGCAGGTGGTTTGCCGAGTGGAAGGTGTGACGTGCTCCTCGTGTGCTTCTGATGGCAGTCGAGTCGTGAGTCAGTCATTGTCAAGTTCGGCAAGAAGTATGTGTTCCTCTTTGGAACAACCAACTTTATGGCAAAGGAATCGTGATAAATAGTATGTTGACCTCGTCTTGGTCAATATCCTATACTATACATACTAATATTTGTAGGTGCGTGACTAATACTACTTCATGTACTTTGAAGTACAACAATTCATACAGGACATACCGTATTTCCCCGTAAGTTAGTTCTCCCCAATGACTTAGTACCCCCCCCCCCCCCTATAAAAATACACTTTCCACTGCCGAGGTTATCACCCCGAAAGACAGTTCCCCCGAAAGATAGTAAGTTCGTACCCGTTCTACATGTACAGACACCGTACAGTACATACATCATATGCACGGACACTAGAGTTGCGCAGGCTTCCCACTGCGTGTCATTTACCCTCGATAAAAATGTACTCCCCGAAAGATAATACAGTACCACCCCCGAAAGTTAGTACTCATGTGGCTGCTAAGTTCGAAAGTTAGTACGTACTAACTTACGGGGAAATACGGGTAATATTTATTTTTATTTTATTTATTTCTGCACCTCGTGGCATGTCAAGACAGCCAATTGAATTGAGGAGAGGGTGAGACCAACCACGGAAGAAGAGAAAAAAAGAAAATGAAGAGCACGTACACAAAGTGGGAAGGGATTAGCAACTTACAAAGCAATGGGATGCTCAGCGAGCTATGCAGCGGAAGTGGTGACTGTGACTTTGTTTACAGGGAGATACTGAAGTGCTGTCTGACGAGGATATATTATAGCCGGCTGGCGTGGTACAATAACCTTTTTCTTCCTCTTCTCCTTCTTTATTGAAAAGTAAAAAGACGAAAGAACTACAAGCTACCCTATACTGTCCACCAACTCCACCAGATACTAAACAATCAGCTCATGCGATAACATTACACGACCCTGACCGACGGTCCCGACGTTCTACAACTAACTGGCAATCAGCTCTAGCACATCTTGGATGCGCACTCCAGCAGCCTTCCAAATTGGAAGGTTCTAAGTCATATAATAACATAGGAGGGGAAGGTGAGCGCAACCAATACACGCACGAGCTGAAAGTCTCAGCTGTGACGGTACTTGTACTCACCTTGGTCCTTTTTCTGTTCTAAAAATGTATTTTTGGCTCTCCATCCGAGTCCATTGTTCTTCTTCTTCTTCTTTTTACATTAATGGCTTTTTCTCTTACCTCGAATGTTTCTTCACAATCTGTATCACAATTTGTTGATTCAACACTAAAGGATATGACAGAATAACGGTTCCAGGCTGTCCAAAACAGTGCTCTGTCCCAAAAGGGCGAAGTCACTTACATGGAGTAGAGCATGAACGGTGCGCTTTACTTCTGAGTTGCACGCACTAGGCGATGGACAGACAACATACCACCAAGACTACAGTATTGTGTGTCTTGAGTGCTCGGTCGGCCCGTCACCGTCCAGTTCACATGCTTCGTGAGTTGGCGATGGTGGAGGGTCGGGTTCCCCTCAGTGAAAAACACAGAGACGTAAAGGACATGTGGATAATGAGCTATTGATGTCGTAGTAAATAAGCTTAGGTGTGGTGAGCCCATAAGTGGGATGATTTCCAAGTCCACCCATAGTTTGGGGATTTCAGGTGTGTGGGCCTTTGGGCGGCTCAATAGTCAATTGAGTCATCTTTACAAAAGATTCCATGTAAGTCTCTCTCCCCTGTCCCCCGTGACCAGCTTTGGCAGTGAGCAAGTACAAGTGTGTGTGTGTGTGTGTGTGTGTGTGCGCGCGTGCATGTGTGTGTGTGTGTGTGTGTGTGTGTGTGTGTGTGTGTGTGTGTAAGTGCGCGTGTGTATGTGTTTTTTTACGTACTCACATTTTTTCAGGAATCCGGCCACAACGCCTGCACAAATATATACGATGACATAACAAAGCCCTCAAAAAATATATTATAATAAAACATTTACTAAACAGCAATAGCTGCCTCTGAAACTGCCAGCGTGGCGGGAGGCTCTTGTTGATCCACGTGTGTACCGGTATGTGTGCGTGTTGTATCCGGCTGTGCATGTTTGGGTTGCGGCGAAGACTTCACCTGGTGTACAGTATATCTGCATAATCGCCAAGGGCTGGCCAGGGGTAGCCCTTTCCCAAAGGTGCTCTTTTAATTCGCACTTAGTGCTCTTCGCGTCCCTCAAAATATGCTGAAAAAGTGCTCTTTTTTCAGTGAAAACAGGCAAAAAGTGCTCTTTTTTCAGTGAAGCATAGCCATGATACATGTTCAGATATGAACCCAAACTGAGAAATGAATACGCACTTTTCCATTTATGGGTCCACGAAAGGCAAAACCGGAAGTAAAGTTCAAAAACCCACCTTTTACAGCATTGTGTAGATCTACACTGGGTACAAGTTTCACCAACTAACTACTTGTCGCCCCCCACAACAGCGGCGTGCCAAGGCCCATCGATCACTCGGAAACTGTGATCGCATGCATGAGCAAGCAGATTTTAGCACTTTTTCAGCTAAAAAAGCTCAAAAAGGGCGATATTCATAAAGGGCGAAAGAAACGGGCTTTTCCAAAAGGGCCAAAAAAAAGTCCAGGTGGGGTAGTCAGAGCTAGAGGTGGGCTGGCCAGGGGTAGGCTGGCCAGAGGTAGGCTGGCCAGGGGTGGGCTGGCCAGGGGTGGGCTGGCCAGGGGTGGGCTGGCCAGAGGTGGGCTGACCAGAGGTGGGCTGGCCAGAGGTGGGGGTATGGAGGGTACACACACAAACACACACACCATGTACCATGTACATGTATACGCCCGTTGCAAGAGAACACGCAAATCTCCAAATGCACTGGATGTGCACCCACAGATTTTCTCTTATAGCAACGATAGCGGACAAGGTCTGAATGAGACACATCAAGACTTGCGCCAGATAACTGTCTAATCCACACAACTGGCGAAGCCATGTGAATCGACCACCAATGCACACCTGGTCTACACCACACGGAGTACATCGGCATAAAACGGCCAAGACAGTTATGCACACCCTACACTTGCTGGGGTAACCAGTATAGACAGCATGCTGCTTTGATAGAAGCATACACTAGATGCACTGGTACCTTGAAGTGAAATTGGAGTTACTGTGCCAACCAGCCTCGGATACTGAGTACTGGGAACCCAGAGCCAACAGACATACCAACAACCTCAGCCATGAAAGCTATTATATTAACGACACACTGGATTGTGGAGCCGAAACTAGTCCAACTTCCAAAATGCTTTGGCAAGAAGGTAGCCTTCCAACAGGTTGGCACACACCTCAGACCTCAGACATGCCCATCGCGGGAGCGATGATAGCGAACAGCTATGTTAGCCATAGCAACTTGTGCTGGGATTACACCATTCAACAGCTTGCAAGGCACACACACACACACACACACACACACACACACACACACACACACCTCAGACATGCCCATTGCGGAAGCGATGATAGCGAACAGCTATAGTGAGGTTTTGCATTCCGAAATTCGGCAAAAAGATTCGGCACGCGGGAGCGAGGTCGAAAATGCACACGAAGATTCGGCGTGTTTGTTCGGAAAAAGCTCACTTTGCCGAAAATATTTTTCGGATGCATTTTCTTGTAGAAGAGCGCAGCGCGTGATTTATTCAAAGACGTTTCTTATCTCGGCATCGCTTGGCAGGCGTCTTTGGCGACATAGCATCGTCAGCTACCTCTGATTGCTCCTCTCCACTGCCTGTCGACTCTCTTTCGCCTGGAATGTCCTCACTGTCATCTGTGTGGCTGAAAAGACTATGGCGACACGCATAAAATTTGACTTGGCCATGGAGTTGGTTTTTCTGAGGCGACTAAGGAGGCAGGTTTGGCCCTCGACTCTTTGGGCGATCAAAGTTCGTTGGAATCAGCAAGAAAAGGAGCACGGGACAGGACGTTGCTGATGCTGGGGCTCACAAATGAAAACACATCATTTTCGACTTGGAAAACAAACGTTGGTGCGAAAATTCGACATTTTGAAGTTCGACAAAAGACCGAAAAACGCTGTACCGAAATTCGGAATGCAAAACCTCACTTAGCAACTTGTGCTGGGATTACACCATTCAACAGCTTGCAAGGCTGATGAACACACACACACACACACACACACACACACACACATACACACACACACACACACACACACACACACACACACACACACACATGACACAGCCTTTGGGTCAGCCACTTGCGACAAAAGGCGACTGGCTGTATTATAGATCTAGGGTACGTGTGGAGGCAGCTGAGCACAAGTCATTCTAGATTGGGGCACAGTCTAGTCTGTGTTTCCTGAACAAGTACGCATGTCCTGTCTGTCCTTACTGGTACTGTCTTGGACATGGAAATCCAGCAGTAGGTTGACCGGGACCGGGGCCAACACTGCAACAGACAGACTCAGTGCACACCCATGTTGATCCGATGCGACCAGCGCGCTGCAGCGCAAAATACATGCATGTGTCGCTGTGTACTGCTTGCCCACGGCTGCATGGCCAGCGCCCTGGGGCCGCTAGACGTGCGACCGGATTTCCATGTCTACGACAGTACTACATGATTGTACTACTACTACTAGTACTAGTAGTAGTAGTAGTAGTACTATTACGTAGATCTACGCGACCAAGATTCAAGGCAAAAAGCCAATATCGATTCGAACACGTAAAAATCAACTCCACGTGGAAAAGTCTTGTGCGTTTCTCGCCAATGCGGCAATAGCTTTGGCAACTAACTTTTATCCAGGCTATGGCCTTTTCAGCTAGGCACTTGCAGTGCACTGACCATGGACTACTGTCTAACGGTATGGATACACTAACTCACTGACTAAGCCGCGACTAAGCGCTCGTGGACTCTTCTTTTCTTTCCGAATAATTGAAAATATGTTTGAATGACTCCTACCAAATTTTGAGGATTGTGAAATGAACGAGTTGCTGCTCACCTTCGCCTTGATCGTCCTCTCGCTGATACTTTCGCTCATCTACTCATGGAAGTCACGTAGAGCCACCGGCAGCCAGCCAAGTAGCGATGGAGTTGACGGTGGCGAAGCTCAGGACATTCCTGCCCTTCCGGAGCGGCGGACCCTACTTGGCGGACACATTGCCTGGATAAAAGAACAGATCAAAAGGAAAGGCGGACTGCGATTCGCTGGCCATCTGGTGGCGCACGAGAAACACCGCTTGCCGGTATTTGCGTTGCACTTCGGCCCGTACGGCTTTGCCGAGCGTGCATGCGTCGTGGCGGACGCTACGCTGGCAGCGAAGCTGTGCGCCAACGATGCTGTCGGGGTGAGCTCACAGATCTGTGACGTGGTGAACTACATGATCGGCGCTGGGACCGTGTTCACGCAGAATGGCGAGGCATGGATCAAGCACAGAAATCTACTGGGCAACATCTTCACCGATGAGCACAGTACATTCAGCGTGGACACTGTAGCACAGGTCACAGCCAGTGAAATTCAGCGCTTCGTTGAATCGAAGACAGTGAGCGATAACGCAGCTGACGGAGATGGAGCTGCGGCGGCAGCAAAGAGCCGCAGTCCAACACTCCAGCGAGTGGAGGTGTGTGAAGTCGTTGAACGCTTAGCCATGGCGGCGCTGGCGCAAGTGTGCTTTGGCGTTGACATGACAACCGATCACCATGATTTTGAGCCAATCCTGACGCGGTTCATACGCTGTTTCAACAAACTGGCCATCACACCATCACTAACGCTATGGAAACTAACCAACTTGCTCGAGTCGAGAAACTACTCGTCCGCCAAGGAAGACATGCTGAAAACGCTGTCTGACCTCGTCGCCGAAAGAGAACAGAAAGGCTTGGAGTCGGGCGAGGATCTGCTGTCCTTGCTGTTACGTGTGGAGCATGACGGGTACGATCGCATGACCATTGACGGGGTTAAGGACAACGGCAATCGACCCGCTCGCAAGTCCAAGGCGCCGGAGGTGGTGCGATTCAGCCGCCAAGAAGCGCTGGAACAGGCTCTCATGATGTTCGTAGTCAGCCACAACACTATATCCTGCACGCTATCATGGCTCTTCTATTACCTAGGTAAGCCTTCGTGTAGCCGTCAGCAGATCAGTTGAATTGACAGAAGCAACAAAAATGTTTTAAGCAGTGTTGCTACTGTTATTTCAGCTAATCTCCAAAGACAACTTTCAGGCACAACAGTTAAAACTGTTGTGCCTGAAAGTTGTCTTTGGAGATTAGCTTGCACTTTCACTCCTTTGACCCTAACTGTTGCGCTAACGTCCATTGACCCAGTGAGTGTGGCGTAAGTACAGGTTCGTGCACGAGTACGAGGACAGTACCGTGGAATCCGGCCCGCGTCGCGATAGCGGCAAGGGCTGGATGAACAGCGGTACTGACCGAGTATGAGTTACTGGAACGTGTTTCCCGTGTGCACCTACGGTCTGTTTCAAAAAGATTAGCAATCAAGTTTGGGTCTTAAAAAGTATGAAGATAAGGGAAATTTGGACAACAAAATACATAAAACGGCTTGTTAGGGCACGGCAAATTGTTCTGTGAAGGTTTCGGAACAATTGAACCAACCGTTAAGGAGTTAGTATTTCGGCCAGGTTTCTGGCCTTTTCCCATGGTTTATAATTTGCCCTCGAAGCCAGTATCGATTTGTTATCAAAACCCACGATTTATCCCTTCCTTTTTGGCCTTGTGGTTATGCATGCTGTCTGCTGACCATGAAGTTGTGAGTTCAAATCCCAACAAATCTTCAAGTCAAATATTTTTTCTTGATTTTGTCATTGTTTTGGTGATCACGCTGGTACAAGACAAAGAAGGTGGCTGCGCCAAACGACTTGTTGGAGCTCGTATTTCCTGCCGAACTGACTGACACTTGACTGGCTCACGCCATTTGAAGTTGTGAACACGGAAGTCATTGCGCTGTAGCTACGTGTTGTTGAATACACCGGCACATCGATCGATCGATTTCTGTTTGAGAATTATTTTAGTAACTGAAGATCGCCAATTTATTTGAATTTAGGAGTTAACACCGTCTTCTATCAGCTTTCACAGGCGTCTGCTTTTCTCAAAATGTCGTCGAAGTCACACGGATAGCTCTGCCACTTCAAGGCCTTGGGAATGAGTCTGTGTCAATGCCGTTTTCGTCACATCGTGAGAGTAAATTGCATCCGCGGCAGCTCAAAGAATCTATTTGGTCACAAAACGGACGCATCCCGCTCGTCAAAATTTACCAGACTTTCGACATGTCCTCTCTGACTCCATATGCCATATCGATGCGAGGAAGAACTCGTTTGTTGTAAACCAGACGAACATGTACGAGTACCGACGTCAGTGAGTTGTCATTTTTCATGCTTTCGCGCGGAATATTTCTTCGAGTTGACAGTGAGTTTTTCCAGGCAGTGCTCGAGCGCTCATACGGTAAGACGGCAAACTCCCCGGGCGATCGCCAGGATTGCTTATCTTTTTGAAACTGACTATAAGCCAAATTCGTGAGCCAATGAACGCAGTGGATTCCGTTCCTGCCTGTCGTCACTTGACGACGGGAAGTGGAATCCGTTCCTGCCCTTCGTCACTTGACGACGGGCAGTGGATCCACTTCCATCACCTTTGAGCAGGCAGGACCGCGCTTTCCAGCCCCGCAATTTGATCTGTCATTGGTCGACTCCAAAGCGACACTCACGTGACATACGGGAATGCATGTATCCTAGGAAGTTAGCCATAGTTGGGCATTCAATGGTGTGCTTACGTCGGATTTGTGATATCTTCGATCAACTTTGCGTTGTCTGTAATTGCCTGCACCAGAAAAAACGTTGTTTATTTCAGTGTATGTTCTAGCAGAAAAATGTGGTAGACAAAATGAGAAGTAAGGCAAGAGGACCAATGTGTTGCACCTTACTGAATACCTCACTCTTTTGTTTGCATTTGCATTAGATTTGATTTTGATATCCATAGATGGTGGTGGCGTTCCTACCAATGCGAAAAACTCCATTACCTGCCGAGTCTCACGTGAATCATGATTGTTATCTTTGTTTGTATTTTACGTGTTTGGTTTGTTCTGTGTAGCAAAAGATCCCAATCTTCAGTACCTGGTCTACAAGGAAGTCTCGTCGGTTCTCGTTGACAGCGAGCAGCAGCCGACCGTCAGTGCGTGCCGTGACCTGACCTTCACCAAGATGGTTGTTCTGGAAACGCTGCGCTTGCGTCCTGCTGCACCGCTTCTCGTACGGAGTGTGAACAGTGATGTCGTTGTCGGAGGTGAGAAAAACGTAAACTTTTCAAAAGAGTACTGGCCGACCAATTTTAATACCAATTTCCTAGTTTGTGACGGGTTTTCGTCATGCAGACCCAATCGTGTCTGTGCAAGGTCGAGCGTTCTCGTCATGTATAGTGAATGCAGTGTACGTACTGTGTGCCCTACGTAATATATAACTTACTGTATCGCAGGAGCGGAATATCCGATCGCAGTGAACGGCAGTTCGTGGATTGTTCCTGGAAAAGGCTTTCTGGAGGCGTTAACTCATCAATTTTTTTCCATCCAGTGAATTTTGCTCACTTTCATTCGGGGGACATACCAACTTATGTAATAATAATGATAATAATATTCACGGGATCCACGTTAGCATCACTTGAATGTTCCGAAACACGCAAGCTATAGCCTTCGCTTCCGCAGGCTACCACTAAGCCTTTTCGCCTTAGTGGCGAATGCAGACCTCACAAGCGAGTCAGGGGAGAGGAGGCAGCAAATTTTATCGTATTCACAGTGCAGTTTGAATTGTAGTTCTTCATTGAAGCACAAGCTTCAAACGGAAGGAAATTGTAGTCCAGATGTGAAACTAGATAGCGGCACACTGTTGCCGGAGCTAGCACAGTCCTTGGTGTATTGTATACAGTAAAACCTGTAATGGCGACCACTCGGATATGGCGACCACTTTTCCTTGTCACGGACGCATTCACATTCAAAACACCTCGGATAAGGCGACCACTCGCTCAACGCGACCGACGACCACCCACCAGCGACCGCGCTGCACAGTGCTAGTCATGTAAATGTACGCATTGCACGGTGCACCAGGCATGGTAGATCCATACATCAGTGCAGAAAGTGTACTTCGAAGTAGATATACATGGTGCATGCACGACATTTGACAGGTCTGCGAACCCCAGGCACATGAGCCGTGCTAGGGTAGCATAGGTGTGTGCACTGTGATGCACTGATCAAAATGATGTGTCACATGTGGATATGGTCATGTGACCCACTGAACCTGGATAAGAAGACCACCTGGCCACGGCGACCACTTTTTCTCGTCCCTTGAGGGGTCGCTTTAGACAGGTTTCACTGTAATATGGAAAAACTGGTAGCGACTTCGGCAATACTTTTAAAGAAAAGTTTTTAGGTAGCAGTGTTGCAAATGGCCGTCCTGACTGCCTGCTCTACCTATCCATGAGTGACACTGACTCAAACAAAATCACGTTTCGCGCGAGACTCGGCTGGAAGCCGAGTTTTCCGCATCCGCAGGAACGCCACCACAATCTAGGATCAATGCACAGATGCAGCTCCTAAAGTGGTGGGAGGTGAGCAGAGTATTTCCCCGGATACAAATCGCACCTTTTTACACTAAAATCCAAGGGTAAAAAAGGGGGTGCGACTTACAATCGAGCATGACTTACTACTGAAGTCAATATATCTAATCAGTATTGCTCAAACCTGGAAATGGGGGTGCGACTTATAATCCAGTGCGACCTTTAATCGGGGAAATACGGTAGATCAGACCAACCACAAACTTACTCAAGCTGCTATCAGGTGATGAAAGCGCTGGAAGCATAGCGTCTCTATATTTGCATTCCCCTATTGATGTTTTGGCCTGCAAAGCACTACCTAAGCAGTGTTTTCCAGGCGCAATCTTTCCCAGCTTTCAAGCTCAACTGGTGAGGGGTGAATTCCCCGACCCACTGTGTATTAAGCAGGGAGTAGTGCTTTCTTGCATTTCACGCTGTGCCTCAGCCTTGTTGACGGTCGTGAGGCAGTCCAGTGTGTAGCATAGCCGGTGGGGGGAGGGATGCGCGAGATCTAGTGCTGTGAAACAAATTCTTATAACTATCACCGGAATTTCCACCACTATTTTGTACTTTTGTGAAATGGGTATCGATGTTGGGATATTCTGCTCGCTGTGATTCTTCTCTCTGTGTCTTTTTCTCTGTCTCTCTGTCTCCATCTCTCTCCCAGGCTACCGTTTCCTGAAGGGTGATCACATCTTGATGAGTTCGTATCTAGTACACCGGGACGGGCAGCACTGGCAGGAGCCAGAGCAGTTCGACGTCAGCCGCTGGACCAGCATCGGCACGGAAGGATACGCACCACGCAGTGCCTCGCATAGCAGCTTCACGGTCAGCAGCAGTCAAAGCCGTCGCGCCGGCAGCTCTGGCAGCAGCGGCAGCACGAGCAGTGGCAGTGGCGTAGACCTGAGCGACGTGGCAGCCTACCTGTCGTTTGGCACTGGCGACAGAATGTGTCCAGCATATGCCAACGCCATGAACCAGATACTGGCCATCACGTCCGTCTGGATCAGGAAGTGGCGCATGTACCTGGCCGAGAAGACACTCTCCGAACAGGTCAGCTTCACCTACAGCCCTGGACACGTGTACATTCACTTAGAGCCTCGTGACATCACAGAGGAGTTCCAGAAGCCCACTCTCCCACCTGGTCCTCGGCGCTTCGTGATCTCGTGAAGAATTGCCGGCCAATTTTGATTATAGCCGAAGGAATACTTTTGAAGTTGTTAAAAGGATTCTTTTGATAATCTACCGGAATTTCATTTGCCACGTTTTCCCTGAAACAGTAGTACCGCAAGCACTGATATACATACACCCCTCAGCAAATGTTTGTGTTTTTTGTTGTTTTTATTCGTTTTAGATCAGTGTAGAAGCTGTTCCGGGGCTGTTTTGTTCGGACCTGTTGGCCCTGTTGGCCATGTATACCTACTGTAGGACTGGTATAATATTTGCATCCCTCAAGTTAAGGCAAACAACACCTGGCACAGCTTGGCCCGTCCGTATGTATACTGCGATAGCAAAGTTGTATACTGGTGTTTTAGCGTGGACTATCTGATCATTGCTGGCAGTGAACACAATCACAAGTTATCTATAGTTTTTTTGCGTTTATATACTCTTCTCTTCACAAGTTTGAAGGAAAGACACAAACTCTTCTCTAGTGCAATATTTTTCTGACCATGTTCAAGTTGATACCGTCTTCCTTGGTGCCGGAAGGATTATTTTACAAGCTATTGATGTGAGGCTTTATCTAAAATGCCATTGGCGTTCCTGGTGTTTTCTTTGAATACTTGACGTGGTGGAACTGAATTTTACGGCCTTCCCAGTATACCGACTACTATACTTGTCCAGTGAAGTGTGCTGGTTTCCAGTCTGGTAAAGACCACCTGGCTTTAACAACCGCTTTTGCTTGCACAGTGGGGCGGTCGCTTAAACCAGGTTTTACTGTACAATAAAACCTGTAACTAGAGACCACCGTGACTAGCGACCAGCCTGGTACTGAAGACCACTCCGCCAGGCACGGACGGTCTCACATTCTTATATATTATGGTGGTGCGGTGCAAGCCTCTAACTAAGGACCACCTGCCACTAAAGACCACTTTCTCTGGCCCCAAGGGGTGGTCGTTAGTCACAGGTTTCACTGTACAAGTACACTGTACACTGACTCTGTTCATGTTTGCAGTGTGACCGCTGTGGCTGGCTGTGGCTGGCTGTTACTGCCTGTGCAGGGATACAAAATTACAATCCTTGGTATGTTTAGGTGTCTGAAAGCACAGTGCTGCTCAATGGAATCCGGTTGCAAGCTTGTGTCTCGCACCCTTTTGCAGCCCAGCGTTCACAGATGTAGGACTACGCAATGGCCGACGCTTACTAGAGTGACTGACCGGGTCTCATTCACCACTTCACCGTACATGTCAGACATTTTTAAGTCGTCATTTGTGCGGCGGACATTCTTAATGTCCTGCAGGATGCTTGGCGTACCTGGTCACATTCGAGTAAAGACAATCGAAAATTGTTCCTAAATGACATAATACAATCCTTGAGTGTGGTGGCGTTTCTGCAGATGCCGTGAAACTCAGGCCGATTGAGTCTCGTGAGAGCCGTTAATTTTTTTATATCATTTATGATGATTGCATGCTGCTTACGCAGATACATCAAGCAGTGCACCTGCACACAAGG